ATGGGACGTTATACCTGATGTAAGATGACGGAGTTGATGCGGGTGCGTGACGAGTTTGATGGGTGCAGCACCACCACACATGGCACAGTAACCATATGTAAGACAACCTGCACATTATGCCATGTACCCTAGAACTTAAAGTATAATAATATAAAAAAAAGCAAGAAAAAATAAAAAAACGAGGCTGACTACAAAATTAAAAAAAAAAAAAGCTCCTCCAGAGCCTACAGATCATTTTCAGATGCTTAAGCTTAAAAATACCCTTAACTTCAAAACTAGTCATTGATTACTTATAAAATGCTAAAGTACTGAAAAAGAAGCTTCTAGCATTTGTTTTTCGTGGGGGACTTACAGTTTCTTAATATCCATATCTACCACTGGTCTCCTGGCCACTTTTCTTTTGTTTTTTTAAGAGTCTCACTCTGTCACCAGGCTGGAGTGCAGTGCCATGATCCTGGCTCAATGCAACCTCTGCCTCCTGGGTTCAAGCGATTCTCCTGCCTCAGCCTCCCAAGTAGCTGCGATTACAGGCACACACCACTACGCTCAGCTAATTTTTGTATTTGTAGTAGAGACAGGGTTTCAACATGTTGGCCAGTATGATCTCGATCTCTTGACCTCATGATCCGCCTGCCTCGGCCTCCCTAAGTGCTGGGATTATAGGCGTGAGCCACCGCGCCCGGCCCATTTTTGAATCTAGTACTTTGCCTCTTCGGATGGGTTTTGTTTAATGTTACTATCGACAGTCCAGGAAGATTGCCTGTTACTAAAGCTTTCTCTGCAAGCCTCAAGATCTTCTTTGGGGAAAGACTCCAAAAGGCTTTGCTGACAACTTCATGGTATAAAGTAAATCACCCTTAATTATCTAAACGTCTTCTCAGGTCTATGACGTCACTCATATTCATGACTGGGCAGCACCTTCCCTCACGGTTCAGCGCCTTCCAGCCTGGTACCATAGCCTCCGTTGTTGCTGAGGTGCAGCCCTGAGCAGGGAGCGCTCAGTGGCCACACACCCAAAAACAGACTGTCCCAGCTCCTTCCCTCTCCCTTTGTGCTGTGGCTTCTGTGGGACCCAACGTGTCTCGAAGGCGCCAGGTACCTCCATCTGGAATTAGAGCACAGTTGATGTTCCATAGAACAATTTTTTTAAAGGAATATGGTAACTGGTAGATAAATGATATCTCTTTCTCTCCTTCAGCCAACTGTCGGGAGATGCAGTAGTTTTCCTTTGTCTCTCTGAAAACTTCCTGTGAGATCAAGCACCAGATAAGCTTGTTCCCTAGCTGTGACCAGTTCAATAATGCATGCCCTTAAATATTTGCTCTTTTTCTTCCTTGATTTCCTCAATAATTATTTCCTTTCCAGCTTCGCTGGTCTTATGCAAGCTAATAAAGTATTAACATCTAAGTTTTGGCATGATCTGAAAAGTTTACCAAACATGTTAGTTGTCCTTTATCTGCGACTGATGTGTAGTTTATATTATACTAATATGTTATATGAGTAGTATAAAGTATACACAGAAACTGAAATTAAAAAGGACAAAACAAATATTATTATTATTATTTTTTGAGACAGAGTTTTGCTCTTGTCACCCAGGCTGGAGTGCAGTGGTGTGATCTCGGCTCACTGCAATTTCTGCCTCCCCGGGTTCAAGTGATTCTCCTGCCTCAGACTCCTGAATAGCTGGGATCAAAAGTGTGAGCCGCCACACCTAGATAATTTTTGTATTTTTAGCAGAGACAGGGTTTCGCCATTTTGCCCAGGCTGGTCTCGAACTCCTGACCTCAGGTGATCTACCTGCGTCGGCCTCCCAAAGTGCTGGGATTACAGGTGTGACCCACTGTACCTGGCCATAAATATTCTAATTTAAAAATAACATGTATTAATAGCATAAAACATTTTAATCTCACTGTGTTATTATTTATGTATAAATATTATTGGTAATATATTTAGGAGAGCAATGTGATTGAATATACCTTATAACTAAACAAATGAACGAAAACCTTGGCTTAATTCTTGTGATTCTGTGATGTACAGAACTCTATTTGTAAATGTTTAACGTATATTTAGTTTTAATATTGTACCTAATGATAAAATTCAATAGATACAAATTAAAATTGGTTAGCATACAGATTCAGTTGTTTTAAGAGAAACAGTTGTTTAAAATAGATACTCTTCCCCTTTCAAGTAACTATCTGGCATAAACTTTCAATGACAGGAATGGCAGCTGTGTGGTATTGAAAACCAGGTTTCTTTATGTCCTTTTCCCAAGTTATCCTCAAAGTTTGGCTTTCATGTATTATGGTCTCAGATGTGTACTATAGCTCACAATATCACTTGTATATTTTGGCTAACGGAAAGGTGATAAGAGTGGAAGATATGGACAACGTTTCTTAAAGCCATAATTAAGAGTCATACACGTACCTAGCTACAAGGGAGATTTGATATTGCAGGCTTCAGCAAAGATAGAGATAAGATGTGCCTAGCTAAAATGTGAGGATCCTTTTAATAATGGCAGAAGGAGAGAATGACATAAAGAAACAACTAACTACCTCTGCCATAGTCTCTACTAAATACCCATATATGTACATATGCATACCCCTGCAAGAAAGTCCAGCCCAGGTCCTATCCAGTTACTGCATCCAGCTCAGAGTTCAGGATCTCTGGGTCTTCTCCATCAGCTCTGAGTGTGGTTCTTGTGGTCTGATCGCCTATAAAGCAAAAAGAAAATAAGATGACTACAGTGATTTGCTGTGCAGAAGCTTTTTGGTTTAAGACAGTCCCATTGGTCTATTGAAACAAATGAATGGATAAAGAAAAGGTGGTTATATACACAATGGAACAGTATTCAGTCATAAAAGAATGAAATTCTGTCATATGCAGCAACATGAATGGAACTGGAGGTCATTATGTGAGGTGAAACAGCACAGGCACAGGAATAAAAACATTCCACCTTTTTACTCTTATGTGAGGACTACAGTAGTTGCTCTCATAAAGGTAGAGTGTAGAATGATAATTACCAGAGGTGGGAAAGGGTGTGTGTGGCAGGGGTTGAGAGAGGTTGGTTAATGGGTACAAACACACAGTTAGAAGGACTAAGGTCTAATGTTCAATGGCAGAATCGGGTGACCATAGTTAACAACAATGTATTTTATATTTTAAATTGTATGGAGAGTACTTGAATATTCCTAACACATAGAAATGATAGATACATGACATGATAGATATCCCAAATATCCTGACAATGATTACATTGCACATCCTATGCATGTAAACAAATGACACATGTACCCCATAAATAGATATCAATATTATGTATCAATTTTTAAAACCAACAAAAAATAATAATAAATCAACTATAAAACTTTACTGAAATATATATAAAACCCTAGATAAATTAGAAAATATTTTCAGCATGAGGAGACAACAATATGCAGGTATCAAATCTCTTCAAATTAATCCATGTTCACACAATCAAAAGCACAAAAGGGGCCAGGTGTGGTGGGTCACACCTGTAATCCTAGTACTTTGGGAGGCTGAGGCAGGAGGACCGCTTGAGGTGAGGAGTTGGAGACCAGTCTGGGAAACACAGTGAGACCTACTTTCCACAAAAATAAAAATGAAATAAAAATTTTAAGAAAAGCACAAAGGATTTCCATGGGCTTATCCAATGACATTTTAAAATTAATCTAGACTGGGCACAGTGGCTCACGCCTGTAATTCCAGCACTTTGAGAGGCCAAGGCGGGCATATTACCTGAGGTCAGGAGTTCAAGACCAACCTGGCCACCATGGTGAAACCCTATCTCTACTAAAAATACAAAAATTAGTCAGGCATGTTGGCACATGCGTGTAATCTCAGCTACTTGGGAGGCTGAGGTAGGAGAATTGCTTGAGCCTGGGAGACAGAGGTTGCAGTGAGTCAAGATCGTGCCACTGCACTCTAGCCTGGCCAACAGAGCAAGACTGTCAAATTAATCTAGAAACAAAAATGTACAAGGATATCTGAAGAAATTTTTAAATATAGAAATAAATACATGTATACCTGTGTAACAAATCTGCACATTCTACATGTGTATCCCAGAACTTAAAGTAAAATTAAAAAAAAAAAATGTAGGTCAGGAAGTCAGGAACGGTGGCTCATGCCTATAATCCTAGCACTTTGGGAGGCCGAAGCGGGTGAATCACGAGGTCAGGAATTCAAGACCAGCCTGGTCAACGTGGTGAAACCCTGTCTCAACTAAAGATACAAAAATTACCTGGGCGTGGTGGTGGGTGTCTGTAATCCCAGCTACTAGGGAGACTGAGGCGGGAGAATCATTTGAATCCTGGAGGCAGAGGTTGCAGTGGGCCGAGATCACACCATTACACTCCAGCTTGGCAACAGAGTGAGACTCCGTCTCAAACAACAACAAAAAAAAAAAAAAATTAAAAATAAAAAGAAATAAATACATTTGCTGTTAGGGCTGGCCACAGATTGTACAGAGAAGGCTAAAGACTTAACAGAAGAGATCTAAGTTGCAGAACATTAGGCTAACAAGAATGGGTGATTAATCAATTTTTTTTCCTGACACATGGAAAATAATTAGTCATCTGTGATTCAGCAGAAAATGCATAAACACCAGATATTTCTATCTTGTTGTATGCCATGCAAATAACATTCTTTATATATCTAAAATTGGAATTAAATTTAAAGAATTTACTAGAGTAATTCTCTCTTTACATTAAAAATAATGAAAATTTTTGTCATAATGGTAGCATTTTTTAATTAATATGAACAGATTTATTCACTGTCTTGCACCATTAATTCTTGAAAAGACTATTAACAGTTAATTCTTACTTATCTCTTCTTATTATGTCTTTCATATGTCTTATATTCAAGATGCTTCAGTGAGATAGCATGAAAAGCCCTGAGAATAAAAATACACAGGCTATACAGTTCTCTGTAAGCAAATTCAATTACTGAAAATCAAAAACAATATTGATACTGCACAGTGTCCTATATTTAATATCGGAAAATCTTAGTATAGACTAGCCATTAAAATGGCATAAACATATACTGAAATATTATTTAAACGACACATCGTTTAGAAGTTTTGTCTTGATATGATGTTATATCACCCTCACCATCATCATTAATGCTTTGAGGCTCTTCTTACTCTACTAAAATCAAAGATCAACTCATTGCTGAATAATAATTATTACGACCTGTGCTATATTATTGATTTCATTTGGTTATTTTATTCTCCCTTATTCTCATGTGAATATTTGACATGTTCAAAAATGTATGCAACATACCTGTCTTAAAGTAAAAAATAAATAAATAAACACCTGTAGACACACCACTTAAATTAAGAACAAAACATTGTCAATAACTTACTCTACTTAGATGTGCTTGTTTTTGAGCTTTACAAATACTGTGTATGAAGTATTTGGTGTTTTGGGACTACATTTTTCAGACTTCATTATGTTTCCATATATTGCAGTAGTTCACTAATTTTTTTCTTTACAAATGCTTAGGATTTTCTTTATTGATATCTAATGAACATACAATGCACTGTACATATTTAAATTATATAATTTGATAAGCTTTGACATATGGACACACTCATGAAACAATCACCACAATTGAGGTGATGAATATTTATGTCACTCAAAAGTTTCCTCGTGTCCCTCTGTAATCCCTAGTTCCTGCTTCTCCTCAAACTCTTACCTAATTTGCATTTTCAGAATTTTGTATAAGTGAGTCATACATAGGTACTATTTTTTGTTTGTTTTTGTTTTTGTTTCTTTTTTTTTCTTTTTATTTCTTTTTTTTTTTCTGGACAGAATTTCGCTCTTGTTGGCCAGGCTGGAGTGCTATAGTGTGATCTTGGCTCATGGCAACCTCCACATAATGGGTTCAAGTGATTTTCCTTCGTCAGCCTCCCTAGTAGCTGGGATTACAGGCATGCGCTACCATGACGGCTATTTTTTTGTATTTTTAGTAGAGACACGGATTCTCCATGTTGGTCGGGCTGGTCTTGAACTCCTGACCTCAGGTGATCCGCCCGCCTCGACCTCCCAAAGTGCTGGGATTACAGGCATGATTCATCATGCCCCGCCATAGGTGCTATTTTTTGTTTGCCTTCCTTGACTTGCATAGTTTGAGATGTATCTATTTTTTACTATGTATCTTTTATTTTATTTCATATTGCTAAGTAATATTCTACTGTATCAATAAATGACAATTTATCACTAGCCTTTTGATGACATTTGGGTTGTGTCCACTTTTTAAGTATTACAAATAAAGCTTCTGTGAATGTATTTGCACAGGTGTTTGTAAAGACATATGCTTTCATTTTGGGTGGTGTTAGGAGTGAAGTGGTTAGAACACAAAATAGGGGCATATACAACATTTAGTATTGGGTATGGGTACGGCTAAAATGGAAGGTTGTACAGCACGTTAGTATGTTTTGTGTTGCTATAAGGGAATACCTGAGGCTGAATAACCTATGAAGAAAATTGAGTTCATGGTTCTGCAGGTTGTACAAGCCTGGCACCATCATCTGCTTGGCCTCTGGTGAGACTTCAAAAAGCTTTTACTTATCGAAGAAGGCAGAGAGGGAGCTGGCATGTCATATGAAGGGAGAGAGAACAAGATAATTTAAATTTAATTAATTTTTAAATTTTAAACAGCCAGCTCCCATGTGAACTTAACAGAGCAAGAACTCACTCTTTACAATGAGGAGTACACCAAGCCATTCATGAAGGATCCAACGCATGACACAAATACCTCCCACTAGATCCACCTCCAAAATTGGAGGACACATTTCAATATGACATTTGGAGGGGACAAATATCCAAAATACATCATAGAGAATGAGCCAGAAGCTCTTCAAAATTTAAAAGATCCAGCAAGATCAAGTTGGCTTCATCCTTGGGATGCAAGGCTGGTTCAACATACGCAAATCAATAAATATAATCCATCACATAAACAGAAACAAAGACAAAAACCACATGATTATCTCAATAGATGCAGAAAGGACCTTTGACAAAATTCAACAATGCTTCATGCTAAAAACTCTCTGTAAACTAGGTATTGATGGAATGTATCTCAAAATAATAAGAGCTATTTATGACAAACTCACAGCCAATATCATACTAAATGGGCAAAAACTGGAAAAATTCCCTTTGAAAACTGGCATAAGAGAGGGGTGCCCTCTCTCACCACTCCTATTCAACATAGTGTTGGAAGTTCTGGCCAGGGTAGTCAGGCAAGAGAAAAAAATAAAGGGTATTCAATTAGGAAAAGAGAAAGTCAAATTGTCTCTGATTGCAGATGACATGATTGTATATTTAGAAAACCCCATCATCTCAACCCAACTTCTCCTTAGGCTGATAAGCAACTTCAATAAAGTCTCAGGACACAAAATCAATGTGCAAAATTCACAAGCATTCCGATACAACAAAGCAGATAGAGAGCCAAATCATGAGTGAACTCCCATTCACAATTGCTACAAAGAGAATAAAATACCTAGGAATCCAACTTACAAGGGAAGTGAAGGACCTCTTCAAGGGGAACTACAAACTGCTGCTCAACGAAATGAAAGAGGACACAAACAAATGGAAGAACATTTCATGCTCGTGGACAGGAAGAATCATTATTGTGGAAATGGCCATATTGCCCAAGGTAGTTTATAGATTCAATGCTATCCCCCATCAAGCTATCAATGACTTTCTTTACAGAATTGGAAAAAAACTACTTTAAAGTTCATATGGAACCAAAGAGAGCCCCATTGCCAAGATAATCCTAAGCAAAAAGAACAAAGCTGGAGGCATCATGCTACCTGACTTCAAACTATACTACAATGCTACAGTAATCAAAACAGCATGGTACTGGTACCCAAACAGAGATATAGACCAATGGAACAGAACAGAGCCCTCAGAAGTAATACCACACATCTACAACCATCTGATCTTTGACAAACCTGATAAAAACAAGAAATTGGGAAAAGATTCCCTATTTAATAGATGGTGCTGGGAAAACTGGCTAGCCATATGTGGAAAGCTGAAACTGGATCCCTTCCTTACACCGTATACAAAAATTAATTCAAGAGGGATTCAAGACTCAAATGTTAGACCTAAAACCATAAAAACCCTAGAAGAAAACCTAGGCAATACCTTTCAGGACATATGCATGGGCAAGGACTTCATGACTAAAACACCAAAAGCAATGGCAACAAAAGCCAAAATAGACAAATGGAATCTAATTAAACTAAAGAGCTTTTGCACAGCAAAAGAAACTATCATCAGAGTGAACAGGCAACCTACAGAATGAGAGAAAATTTTTGCAATCTGACAAACAGCTAATGTACAGAATCTACAAAGAACTTAAATAAATTTACACGAAAAAATCAAACAACCCCATCAAAAAGTGGGCAAAGGACATGAACAGACACTTCTCAAAAGAAGACATCTATGCAGCCAACAGACATATGAAAAAAATACTCATCATCACTGGTCATCAGAGAAATGCAAATCAAAACCACAATGAGATACCA